GTTGTTGTTGCTGTTGCTGTTGCTGCAGTCGCCCTCCTCATCATAATTGTTGTTGGTCATGTTCGTTGCAGTCTTTGCTGGTTAGCTGGTAGTTGTAAATACCAGTTTGGCTGTCGTTTGTGTGAGGCATGTTGGGTCTCGAACTCAGGTGATTTTTTATGAAGGTCTGGAGCTACTTTGATGTGCTTCTGTCTTAGGGACCCCAGCCATTTGTGGGAGTCTGACACAAACATGGAATCCAAAGCGGCGCCCAGTATAGACTGCCGCCCTTCATCACGCCAGGGCTGTTGTGAACCCTGAACCCTAAACTGCGCTTCATGTTATTTTGCATGCGTGTTTAGGGGAAGGCCTCGGAAGGACAAGGGTGGGTTTAGGTGGCAGGAAGATTGTCAAATCGTGTTCATGAGTCTTTGCGTGCTCCAAAATGCGAAACTCCCTGAGCCGCACATTCCGAACGAGCAGCCTATGCAAGCCTAGAGAATCTCATGGGCATTCCTCATGCAACGCGCTTTATAGACCTAAGGAAGCCGATCTGGGTAGTTCTCAAAATTAGGGTCCCGTTTCAGGTCCTCAAAATAGTGCGGCACCCGTATAAAAAGGACCCTAGAAAGGATCCTAATTTCGAGAACTACCCATATCAAGGAGTTCAGGTCCTTATAAAAAAGGACCCTAGAATGGATCCTAATTTCTGAGAACTACCCATATCCTAAGCCAGCAAGGAATTCCAGTGGCGCATCGCACTGCAGCTCTTGGCCGACCTGGAGGGACGGGGACTGGAAGGCCCACTCTGTGCAGGTTTGGGCTTTGAGACTTTGCATTTTGGCGTTCAGTGTTGGGTTGTGGGCTTTGAGTGTTGGGGTTCGAGATTTAGGGTTTTTGGGTTCTGCGTTTCGGCGGATTTTTACTCATGACTGGGGGTGGCCCCGCACCCGGTTTTTGTGCTTGGGCAAGAGACACTGATGCCACACGCAGCCAATCCAACAGCACATCTTGGCAGAAAAGACGACTTAACCCAAACTACCGCCCTGTTTGTGGTGATTCTGAATGTTTTCCTGTTCTTCAGGAGCTTCGGATATCCAGCTAGGCTTGTCTGCATCGGGGCTGGTCTGCAGATCGAGTTTCTAAGCTTCACAGGGGTCAGGCCTCAGGATGTCAAACATATAAATGCCAGCCTGAGCGCTTCGTTCTGTTCTGACTGGGGTATAGGGATTCGGGTTTAGGGATTCGGGTTTAGGGTTTAGGGCTTAGGGTTTGGGGTTTAGGGTTTAGGATTTAGGGCATCATCATCTTTCGAATGGAAGCTTGAAAGACCTAAGGAGCTGTGGAGTAAAAGGCCTTTGGCGGTATCCTATTCAACACAGGGGCCTGAATCATGCTCCCTCGGGTCTCTGGAACCGAACATGTCTACAGCATAGCCACTAAAAAGAAACGTCTTAGTCTCACTAGTTCGGCCCTGCATTGCACAGGGTTGTCAGGATCTCTTAAGAAAACTCTTGCTGGTGGTAAACCTTAAGCCCTAAATCCGAAACTCTAAACCCAAAAACCCAAAACCCAAAGTTGTAAACCCTAAACCCAAAACCCTGAATCCTAAACGCAAAATCCAAAACCCTAAACCCTGAGCCCAAAGCCCGAAATCCTGAACCCTAAACCCGAAATCCTGTAACTCTAAAGCCGATTGGCCATTCAACCCCAAGCCTTTCGTGCGCGCAGGGTCCGTTCCCATCTACAGCTCGGTGATGACCTCCCTGGAAAAAGTAGGGCCGCTCGGGTCCAAAAGAGAGTAGACTGCGAACCCTCTCACTTTCACCTAGGCCTAAGGGTTTTTAGGGTTTAGGTTTTTCGTGTTTCTCAGGTTTGCACGTAAGGCAAGGGTTTCGCTTCTCGGAGACGGCATGGTCAGGTTCAAGATTCTCCGAACCGATCCGATAAACCCTAAATCCTAAACCCTAAACCCTAAACCCTAAACCCTAAGCCCTGAACCCTGTACCCTAAACCCTAAACCCTAAACCCACCCTAAGGGTTTAGGGTTTAGGGTTTAGGGTCCATAGCCTACAGCGGTTCAGATCGCTAGGCGAGACGCAGTATGGAAGCCTCAATAACTACCAACATCATTCCGGACGCACCCGAATAGGGATCACGGTTTAGGGTTTAGGGTTTAGGGTTTAGGGTTGGATCTTTTGTCCGCACAGTAACAGTAAGAGTAACAGTAACACTAACACTAACACCGTAACATATCATTCCTTGGGGGTTCCTTCTTATAGCTACAAAGGAGCCCAACACCCTGTTCGAATTTTTACGGCCGCCTGAATAATTACCCATAGTATTCCTTAGGGTTTCCTTCTTATAGCTGTAGTATGAAAGGAGCCCAAAACCCTCTTCGAATTAGAGGTCCGGTCTTATCAAGTTTGGGGGTTCCCGGTCTTAGGGATTCTGCTCCCGAAACCCCAAATCCTGAACTCTAAACCCCGAGTCCTAGGGTTTAGGGCTTAGGGGAGACTCCTAGACCATAAACCCGGAACCCTGAGTCCTGACCCACAAACTCTATACCCTAAATCCTAAACCCTAAACCCTAAATCCTAAACCTTAAATCCTAAACCCTAAACCTAAACCCTCAAACAACTCTGCAAAAAGGTGCTCAGAGGCCGCCACATGAATCGAGCTCG